ATGTGAGAACGCACTCCTCCAAGTAAAACACGAAATATTACAAAATATTGAACATCGTTGATACACGATTAGTGAGTGAAGTGTGCGAGTGAAGAGATTTTTAAAGTTGGCGCGGCAAGGTGAGGAAGACGGGCTACTGGCAACAAGTTGCCTGTGCTAGCGCGGCGAACAATGGCCAATGAAAAATAACTGAAGAAAACGGAAGACAGAATCCAGAGCCACTGCACCAGAGAAGGAGGAAGAAGAAGAATCGTGCGGGTGGTTGGAGGCGTCTAGGGTGCAGCGTGAGAGCTCATCGGGTGCAGGTACCGAGGCGTCAAGGCGATGACAATCACGGGGTCTTGGAGACCATTCAACCACCACCGAGGCTATTAACTAGTTCCTGGCACGGCCTGGTTCTGGTGTTCGAGCTGAAGAAAGTGCCACAGATGACGTCCTCTACCGGGAGCGGGAGCGTGCCGTCGGGCTACGGGCCTGAGCTTATGCACTCCCACCACGACAGACTGTTGAAGGGTGTAAACTGCTGGTGAGCCGCATGTATCTTCTTATGCGTTTGGACTCCAACCCAAGAACTCGAAAGACTGTTTAAATTCGTAGAGGTTTCCCCTCGTTAACGAGAACTGTCAGTACTTGTTAGTTTCCTTTTTGCTGATCTTAGCATTCCCTTTTTTGTGTGTTTTTTGTTTTTGTGAAAATTTTTTTTTTTTTCATGCAAATGAAATGCTCACCTCCTTTTCTCTCCAGAGAATAACGTTTCACAGCTAGCCCAACTAGCTTTATTTACCGAACCTATCACCCACAGTGGATTTATTCCTGGACTTGTATAAAGCATTTCACAGTGTGAACCACGAAATACCGTTATCAAAACTTCACACTGGATACGTGGTACAGCATTAGAACTCATGCGAAGCTGTTTAATGGACTGTTTTCAGTATGTTTCTCTCAATCAGGTGACCTGTCCACATCTTAAAATACAAACTGGTGTACTGCAGGTATCTATACTAGGCCCCGTATCATTTAACATATACATTATTGACCTTCCAGGCATTTCACATACACTGAACATTGCAGATGACACTAATCTTTTATTTTCGAGCCCATCCTGTAAACAGACCGAAAAAAAATCAATGATTATTTAGATCTATTGTCTGACTGGATGAACTTAAACAAACCTATATTAAATGTGATGCAAACTAAATATATAGTATTTAATCTGATAAATAAACCAATGCCTATAAATATTTCTGTTTTATTCAAAGAAAAGCAGATAGAATGAGTAGCAACGCAAAAGTTTTTCGGTGTATGGTTTTCAAAAAACCTCTCTTGGGACAATCATCTAAATAAGCTCAGCAGTGACCTTAGCAAAGTAGTAGGCTCCACATATGAAATTAGTAGTCATATACCACTAAAAGAAGCAATGTACTGCGCCATTTTTCACACATAACTTAGTCATTGTGCATTAGTCTGGGAAGCAACACCGCAAAAAATTATGGCAAATTAACTAAACTGCAAAAAAAGGTAATAAGAAGTGCCGAAAACTATCATGGTAGGCCGCGAGACTTACCCACACACGATCTTTTTTATAAACATTCATTGATGAAAGCAAATCAAATTCACTATTATAGATTATCATTGCTCATAAAAAAGCAGAGGCTCCCATATTAGTAGTTCACCAGTTTCATCTCTACAGTATCAGTTATGCCACTTGACAACAATGCCACTGCTCACACGAACAAACTACGGACGCCAGGACCTACAATATCAACCCTTTAAGCTCTGGATTTTTTATCTTGGTCAGATACTTTTTTTGTGTGCATTTTTCTCGTAGTTAGGACCTCAGAAGACCACAAACAAAAAATTAAGCCACTGACACAAGCATTTTTGGATTAATTAACGTGGCACCAAACTAGGTGATTAAAGCCCAGTGATTGGAAAATTAAAAAAATGGCTTCTTTTTTCCTACCAATCAATGGTGTACACAAAATGGAAACCAACGTCTTACTTTTCAGCTTAATCCTCACTACAACAACTTCGGTACGTCGTCCCGAAAATGGCACTTACCTGCCTCAACTTAGGTGCCTCGGCTTCACGGAAGACATCGGTCGCACTTCTTCTTCTTTGTGGCTGCTACCTCCACAAACGTGCCACAATATTGATGTCAATTGCAGTGGGAATCATTGAAAAACTATGCCCCCGAAAATGAGTAGTATTGGTTACGTTTCTGAGATACTAGGGGAAATGTTGTGCGGTGGTGTCGATTGACACCGCCAGGACCGAAAGGGTTAAATACCCCAGCTATTAACATTTTTGATGAACGACATACACTTTTAATTGCCCCATTTCAAACAATATGTAAAAAACTTTCTCATACATTCTACGATAACTTATCAATGCCATTTTTATACACCGTTTATACATGTCTTCCACCGATTTATTACAACAGTTTCAATTTTCATTATTTAATACATTGGGGAACATATTCTTGAACTGCTTGAATGATGTGTCTTTTTTTTTCATGAAGTGTTTTGCATGATATGCTTCGTTTTATGAAGTGTTTTCATGATATTTTTATTTTATATAAAGTGTTTTATTCTATCGTGTAACGAAGTGTTTGTAAACATTTTTGTAGCCTGGAGTTATTTTATATAACGTGAAACTGTATTTGCTCTGTTTGGATTTATTTATGTATATTCAGATGCTTTATTGTTTTATATGCATCAAAACCATTTGTATGCACGCCGAATGCGCAAAGAAGTAAGAGCCGCTGTCAAGCCACACGGCCTTTAGCTCTTGCTCCTTTTTCTGCAAAACGAAGGAAATAAACAAAAGAAAGAAAAAAATGACCGCAGTTTCCCGACTGGGAACACTGGTTAGCATGCGGAGAATATATGTTGAACTTCGATAAATGTGGTTTGTAATTTGCGACATGCGTGTGTGTTATGAGTGAACACAAGTGAACACGCACGTACGTATGCTGCGAAAGACTATATTTATTGATGAGGCGCTTTGGATATTTTGAGCAAGATGGCTTTATGGTCCGTAAAATGAAGGGTGAGTGGGTCTGGTTGCAGCGGACGAAAGTCGAAATTTGCAAAGACGTGGTCGATGCACGTCCCGTGAACTGTGGTCAGATGATCTTTGCCGTCGTGTGTTGCTCGTTTCAGCAAGTGCCGCCACTTCATGTAGTCGACCACCCAGTCCTTGATGACGTCGACGTTGAAGTCGCCAACTATCACGAAGGGTCGTTGTTGCGGTCGTTGTTTCAGGTATTTTTCCACGGCTTCGTCGACGTACTTCTCCACGGCGGCACGCGATAGGTTGGGCGTGAGGTACATCGTCAGGACGTCGACTCCGCAGATGCTAGCGACCAGCTTCGCAGCGTCGACGCTTGCATGCGGCTTCTCCGTCCAAATTCTCTTGCCGATGTTAACGCCTCGCAGCGGCTTCGCGTTCTCGAAGCTGGGAATCTTTCGCTCAACGTTGACGTATCGCAGCTGCTTCGTGTTGGGGATCCTTCGCTCGACGCTGACGTCTCGCAGCTGCTTCACATTCTCAGAGCTGGGGATCTTCCGCTCGACGCCGACGTTTGCGTTCCGCATCGCGAGCTCTTCTCAGCGCGGCCTTGTCCACGGACGAAGTTTCTTCGAAATTGCTTGCGGCTCTGCCAACACATTGGCTGACGCTATTGGAAGGAACGTCAGTAAGTGTGTTTGCGGATTCGTTAGCATACATTTTCGCCAGCGACATCGAACGTGGAGCGACCGCACAAACCAACCAATGAAGGGCGGCGCGCCCCGACACTCAGTTATTTATAGCGAGCGCCGGCCCCGGCCTGCGCATGCGCGCGTTAGCATACAGCTGGCACACGTAAAACTAAAGGTCGCGCGGCGCGTGCAGGGAAGAAGCAAGCTCAGCGCGCGCTGTGTTGAGAGGAGGAAGGGATGCACAGATGGCTGGCGGAGGAGGAGGGGAGGCTGCGGACGGCAACGGCCCATGACTAGCCCCTAGTATAACATGCTCCGCATGTAAAAGAACTTTATAAATTACTGACATTTACTAGCTGTGAAGGTGTATTCAATTCTGACGCGATACACGGAACCACTGCTGCAAAAGTTCAGGTGGAACCACTGCTGCAAAAGTTCAGATGGTGCTGCACCTGCAGGTAGTGCGGGTGCGACACCATCGCCTCTTGTTTTTCTTCTCGAGGGCACTGGTGCACAGACTGTAGTCAGCTATGCTCACTCGCAAGGCCTGGTTTTCCGTGCACCCGCATTCAGCCAAAAAAATTCCCTTACCAGCCGCTGCAGGAATCTCCCCGCTGCCGTCTGTTACTATCACGCCATTATAATTGATGTTGGACACCCTAAATTTGCATCAACAATCGACACCATGTTTAACCAAGCACCGGTGCAACATGTCCTCTGCTTCTGAGCTGCACCCCGACGGCACCTCCTATCGAGCACGTTCAGGAATTCTCCGCACTGCGCTGCAATCGAGAATTGCAGTGCACCGCACCATGAACCGATGCAGGAGGTTCGAACACACCTCGAGTTACTGAGACTGCACAGAGGAAGAGCCGCTGCCAAGCCGTTCCCATTAATGGAGATATACTAGCAATACACGCTACAGACTGATAGCGACGAACATGGCTATCAGTAGTCTGATAATCCGTGTAATGCATCGTGTTTTATATGACAGTTAAAGAACCTTCTAGCAAATCACTGGTGCTAGCATAAGCTGTAGAATTCACACGACTGTTCACATCTTGCATGTAATCTCAACAAAATAATTCCAATGCAATCCTGACTCTTCCCAAACACTTCAATGTCCTCTGTGCCAAGATTTTGTGGATTGAACCTGAATGCGTCAAATTAAAACAATAAATCTGTGTGGCAATATGTATGGGCAGTATCAAAATGTCATACAGGAAGTAATAACAGCCTTTAGTAATCTCGTGAAGTAAATTATCTGAAACTCCGGCGGAGCCCAAGATTACTCACCGATATAGTAGATGGAGCCATTGCTGCAGCCCAGAAGCAAGATGCAGGAGCCAGCAGTGTCAAAGCTTGTGATAGGCACCACATCCTGGATCTAAGGGTGGAGACAAACTAGAATATGTGCCGGATCCATACTGCACTTTTGTAGTTTCTCAATAATATTACCAGTAGTTAGAGTTTAGCATCACAAATATGATTATGAGGGACGTCATAGTCGAAGGATTTAGAAACTTTGACCACCTGGAGTTTTTTTTAAAGGGTTCCTCACAATACCAGCTGTTGGAATTCAGCGTCACAAAACAACAATATGATTACAAGGGACGTCATAGTAGAAGGATTTAGAGACTTTGACCACCTGAAGTTTTTTTTTAAAGAGCCCCTCACTAGGTTTGACAATTTTGAGCTGACGAGCGCTATGCATACACTGGGTGTTCGCCGTGTCGTCTGCCAAAACTTGCAATGCTACACATCGGGGAAACAGGTTAAAGTTCAAGCTAAATGTCTCGTGATCGAAAAAACCGAATGGATCTTTTTGCATCCAGCTTCACATGTTGTGGGCTAGGGGTCGTGGGTCACATCATGGCCACCCACAACGGTCGGCAGCACTGATTGTCAACAAACCGACAGTGTGACTATAGCCCAAGTGTACAAGCGAATTTGCATGTCCCAAAGTGAAGGATGAAAAAGGACATTATTAGAAATTTCTTTAAAGAGCTATAATCTAAATAAACTTCATTTTCTTTCTGGGACTGTTGAACTTTTTGGGCCATTTTGCAGGATGCAAGGTCCGGAAAATCGGCTGGTGGCGTACATAGTTTCTTTAGTTATTTTGAGATGTGTAGAATCAAATAAACAAATGAAAAATATCATTATTGTTGTATGAACAACAAAATTTTCGACTGAAATCTCAATAGGAAAAAGAATGCATCACTCAAAATGTGTGAACAGCATGAAGAATAGGGCTTTAGATGGTGCAGAGGAAAGAAGAAGAGCCTGCCCTCGGCTCATTTTCCACCATGGTACTTCGAATGATGGTTTGGTCAAAAATGTGTCTACGGAGGAACCTCTGAGCGCTTGCTGCATCTCGGACATCATCTGAAGGCAACACACCAAGTAAGTGGGAAATAAATAAGGCGTTAGTGTTTTATTTTTACAGCTACCAGTAAGACTGTGCCGCTGCACATAGAAAAAAGGAGCGGGTAAAAGACAGGAAGCGGACCTGTATTTGTTTCGTAAAACACACCATCACTGATTACCATGCAAGTGTAGTCGCTGTGACCTCCAGTTGTCACACGTGTTTGTGGTGCTCTCTCTGACACCCTTCTTGCCAGTGCGTTTGCAATGAGCCATCTTCCTAAAACCATGTGGGTGCACTGTGACCCCTTACAAGAACTTTCGCGAACCAGTGAATAGCAGCAATCAGAATTTGCAATGCCATACCAGGTCGTGCTAGATTATTTGGGTACAAACACGTGCAAAGGCACAGCACCAATAACGCTGCAATTATTACCTATTTGAGAAGCTATTGTCTCGCTTTTATGAGATTTTAAATAGAAGCTGCTATAATTTTTTATTTTGAGGCAATTTTCAATTATTTGCATTGATCAAACTGAGCAGAAACGAAGCAATCCCTTTTGGAGAACATCATAACGCAGTGTTGAGTCACTCTTGGGTGAAACCCCACAGTTCTGATGGTAAGCTATAGTGGCACAACAAATGTTTTGTTTTGTTAAATACTTATTATCATTGTGCTGTGGTCTCATTTTTGTTTTGGCTTTATAACTGACGTATGGCCACTCTGACAAAAGTTTCTCCACTGTGTCACAAAGTCAAGGTTGCTGAATCTCTGGTTTGAGAAAGTCATGCTTTTAACAGTACTGAAGCTGGGTTTTCTTTCTTTGTTGTACTGTCCTACTTTCCAAGTAAAAGAAGACTCTTACAGCGAAAGTTGTTATGAGATCACAACTCGGGTCAAGCGCACTTGTCCGCCGCTGCTGGTGTCCATAACCACATCGGGCGAAATGAGTAAAAAACGTTTTACCAATGACACAGTGAGGCTTGAATTCGGGTCTGCTGGGTGCCAGCCCAGTATTCTACCACTGGGTTACGCTGGTGCTTGTAACTTGTTGTCATACTTGCTTTAGGCAGGCTTGACCTAGCACCAATCACACAGTGGGGCTCGAACTCCGGTCCGCTGGGCATCAGCCCTGTATTCTACCATTGAGCTGCACCGGTGCTTGTGACATGTTGTCAAACTTGCCTTAGGCAGGCAAGTTTGACAAGTCGGGAAAGCGATTCGGGAGGCAAGTCGGGAAAGCAATTGCATTGATACGACTTATAAAGTGTTTTAAACCAGTCGTCGCACAATGCGAATAGCGTAACGAGTGGGCCATTCAATGCTCCAATGCATCACAAAACTTGTCCTTGTTCCCCTATTAACTGTGGCACATACTCACTTCAGCTATAATTCCTCATCGTCGTCAGCCACTGCATGAACAATTAACACGAAATTCCTTGCAAGTGTTTAGCAGACACCATGTTTCTCAGAAGAAGGAGGAAAAATATCATAGTGAATGCCAGCCTAATTGATAATAATGATTAATTGATTGATTTGTGGGATTTAACGTCCCAAAACCACGATATGATTATGAGAGACGCCGTAGTGGAGGGCTCCGGAAATTTTGACCACCTGGGGTTCTTTAACGTGCACCCAAATCTGAGCACACGGGCCTACAACATTTCCGCCTCCATCGGAAATGCAGCTGCCTGATAATAATGATTAAATGGAATGAATGATTGAAATAAATTGATTATTAATGACCTGATGGGTATCAAGCAAGTGTGCTTGCAGTAGTTACCGAATGAGTGTTTCGAAAAGGCTCCGAAGCCTGCTCTAGCTTTCGCTGTGACTGTGCTGCGCTTCCCGTGCAGGCCTGGCGTTTTATGATGACCTTAGTACCATGTGCGCTCATGTCGCTGCTGTTTCTTCGTGCCGATCAATTCTCAGCTTATCTACTGTGTCCTGTTTTCAGTACGTTCCTTTGTCTTTCATGCATTCAAACAATAAGGTCAAATTATCAACTGATGTGCGCATCACAATGTGTCCATGTCCAATTGAGTTGGGCGCCACTGCCATTTCACAGACTTTGCTGTACATCCAAAGCTTGCAACAACGAAATCTTGGAATGAAATATTTTTCAGTCTCTAGCAAAATGCTTATAGAATTCAAAGTCTCTTGAGAAAAGAAGTATAGGTGGGCGCAAGTTGTGTGACTACCGATGACAGGTTCCGAGCTGTACCTTGACATGTTACCTTGGTTTTTTATCGATCTAATGTTACAGCATAAAAGGCATCTGTGATTGCATATAAAATGTTTAGTTGCAAGTTAGCATTCTGTATGTGTCTGTCTTCATGCCAGCCCCGTTTACTGCTCCACTTGAATCATGAACCCAAAATGTGGTCCAGTGTTTCTTCTTCACACTTAAGGGGAGATGCGAGTCGAAAAATCGTGTTTTTAGCGAAATTTCTCGTATTTCTGATTTTTATTGCATTGTAATCTTCAAACCTTCTTCTTTCATCTGTGAAAATTTCAAAACTAAATTCGAACTGCGAAATGCAAAAAAATGTGTATGAAGGCATCGCGGTGGCTCAAAATTTCTTGAATTTGCGCCGATATGGGCCATGTTTGACTGCGCGCTGCTCCCCGTCACAGTGCCGCCCGCCATCGCGATCGGTTGGGAAAGTTGCGTCCGGCCTTCTTCTTACAGCTCCGATGACCGCCAGTTTCGTACGTGGGCAAAAAAAATAAAAACGAGGCCTTTTTTATCACGTGGTTTGAGCGGTTTGAAACGCGCGGCACCCTAAGCCGCATCGCCATTGGCTACCGAGTCATTGTCAGCTGTGTTGGTGGCGGCCATCGGCATTTGGTCCGTCTGCTTTTCTGCACGTATACGCATATTTCCTCGATGACAAGCCCGAAAAAGTGCAACGTGAGACCGCAGAAGTTTCCAACGAAGCACAAGTTCAAGGGAAGGTGGCGTAAAGCGCCCCGAACGACGGCGACGAACGAGAACGTGCCTACGTGTGCTAGGCCTGACGGCGGCATCGACGAGTGCGCGAGCGACAGTAGCTGCGATGAAGGGAATTGACGCTGCGCTTTCTTTCGTCAGTGCTTCGAAAAAGAAGCTTGGCTTCTTCGAAAAAGACGAAAGACAGCGCGATGAGGTTTGTGCAACGACAATTTTGTGCGACACCCTCTTGCTGACGCCACTTGTGGCAGGTGCGGCATGCCCTGCTTGCGGTATTCAAAAACTTGCCGTTCGGGAGCCGGCAGAAAAGCGCAAGGGACTTTCGTCGCTCCTCGAACTTCATTGCGAAAGCAGCGAATGCTCAGCGACCGTTCTTTCGTGCTCCTATACGTCAATGCGTGTTACGGCGGACAGCAGCAGCCGAGTGAGCCATAGGTACGACAGTGGGAGCTCCCGAGATAGTTTCGCTGTAAATGTGAAGGCGGTGGTGGCTGCACGCGCTGTCGGCATTGGGCATGAGCAATTGTCGAGATTTTGCTCCATTATTGGACTCCCAAAGCCAATGCACCACTGAGGATTTTTTTCGATAGCAAAGAAGGTGCACACCGCTGCCATGGCAGCTGTGAGTGAAAACTTGCGCCGATCCAGAGAGTTGACGAAAGAAGTAGCAGGCAAAACTGATGTGGCTGTTATGTTCGACGGCACTTGGCAGAAGAGGGGCCACAAAAGCCACAACGGGATTGGCGCAGTTATCTCCTTAGATACTGGCCTCTGCTTAGACTTCGAGGTGATATCAAATTACTGCCTGACATGCAGTAGGCACAAGGATATGGGCCCAGACGAGGAACTGTGGCAGGCATTCTATGGCCCAGTCTGTGAAAAAAATGCAGACTGTTCCTCCCATGCCATGGAAACGGAGGCTGCAATGCGCATTTGGCAGAGAACATTGACTTATGACACCCCCCTGCAATTCATGACATTCTTGAGTGACGGTGACAGCAAAGCATATAGTGCAGTTGCAGAGTCAAAAGTCTATGGTGCTGTCAATATAGAAAAAGACTGCACT